CCTTTGTATTATGTTTTTTACTACTAAGTATTTGTTATAACTATTTGTCATAACAATTACTTAGTAATATTAGAAAATAGAACTAAACACAAGAAACGTTTTACAGTTTAATATGATACCTAACTTTTATGATTTATTAACAAACATCAATTTTACTATGCTCAATATAAAACTCTTTTTTATCTTTAAATGTAACCACAGAAACTAAATAATTTTAAATATCCAAAATATATCACTTTAATTTTAATCCAAAAGTAGTTTCAAGAAGACCTTACACACTAAGAACCTAAATAATTTTCTGACTTGTATGCTAAATCATCTAAGCTTATATACTAATAAAAGGCGGGAAAATAATCAAGAAAAGCACATAAAGCATGCGGCGGGAAAAATAGAAAGGAGTTTACAATGAAATAACACATTTTAAGGAGTTTTCTTATTACTTTAACAAAATCAGGAGCATACTCAAATGAAAAGTAGTTCAATTTAACTTTGCTATAAAAGATTATGAAATTACAAAATTATCAAACAAATCAAAACATGTATAACTTACAAAAAATTCGCAAAGTTTGCGACACTCCCGCCAACAATTTAAGCAAATACAATAAATAGAAAGTACATCAATATGGATCTTATGATATTGTAAAAAGTCTATTTCAACAATCTTCTGATGTTGCTTGGTAATGTCATCAAAAGTAACTTCCTTGGGCAGCAGCGGCGTCTCATCTTGGGAAGTATGAGTAGCTTACGTCTCAGCTGTCTCTTTTGTGAAATGGTCTTAGTGACTGACTGTGGAAAATCTCCCGTTGAGTTCCCTGTAGAATCTAGCAGATCATCAATAAAGGAATTAGAAACATCTTCCGGTATGTAAGTATCAAGATAGCTGTCTAACTCTTGAACTAAGTCTAAAACCTCGTCATCAGAACTGATGTCACTATAACTGTGACTTATGTCCGAATAAAATCCATTAGAGATTAAACTTGGCATTTTCGGTTTCATTTTAATGCATGTTGATCTGGCATCTTCTTTGTTAAAGTTGTGTTTCTTTTCTAGATGCTGAGTTAAATTGCTTCTTCTCTTGAAAGTTGTGTTGCATGTATCCACATAGCATATGAATATTCTGCTACTACCATGTTGTTCTGCTACGTGTCTTTTTAGATTTCTTGCTTTAGTGAATTTTTTCTCACAAATTTCGCAGGATGGCATGTTTGTACTATATTACTCGACTCACAGATAAAAATCAAGCAATGTATCAGCTGTTTATATAGTAATATACACCCTTAAAGACATGATTTTTTCATGAATTTCATGGTTATGTACTACTACCTGTTAAGGTATATTTAAACTCCTGTGTTACATGTGTTGTAAATTGAAACTCCTGTATTTTGTTATGTAGATATAAACTCCTGAGCGATGTATAGTAAAACATAACTGATTTAATTTTATTTCACTTATTGTTTAAAACATATATCAATTGAAAAGTTAACATAAGAAAAATGCACACAACATTTTATTTAAATTGTTTTGTTTCTTATTTATGAAACAAATCACTAACTTACAAAGCATAGTTTTTCAATTATATAATATATAATACTTATTTCATATTAACGTAACTATTCACACAATAGTTAATTAAGTACAATAAACACGCACAATAGGTGAATAAGTTCACCTTTTTATTTTCAACTGAATATTATGAAACACACAATTGAAACACATTTTATACAATATGTACAGGTTAAATGCTTAATTGCGTCCGCATATGAATGAAAAGCAATGCATTCACTTTTGTATACACTGATTTCAATTGTTTAAGCATTGAAACAAATATAACATTTTTTTTTTAGATCACATAACTTAATGATATATCACACAAAGTGACCGTCTCCCAAACAAAGTTTACACTTCGTTATCACTTTTGATACTATACACTTGTTTTATTCTGCTTTCTGCTACTGCAGCAGCACGTCTTTGTTGTTTCTTATTATCAACAGTTTGGCATGTTTTACTTTGAAAATCGTTTTCAATAGAATCAACATCTGTTTCGGACATTTCTATAGGATACAGTAAACACAATGGACGTCCTAGTATTTTACCGGATGAAGTTTTAACCTTTGCTGATCTTATAAGTCCATCTTTTCCGGCGATTAATTTTGTTATTTTTCCTAATTTCCACATTCCCCGAGGTAAATTGTCTTTTATAAGAACAACACTTCCTACCGTAGGCACCATGTTTGAACTATTTTTCAATGGTTTATGATGTATTTGTAGCCTTTCTCTTAAACTTGATAAATATTCCGTTCTCCATATGGACCAAAACATATCTAAAAGTTTATTTCCCTTTTTCCAGATTTTAAATATCGTTTGTGAAGATGTTTTTGTTGGTTCAAAATTGGGATCACTTTCTTCGTCAATTGTATTTGGTATACCTGTATTGGGGTTTAATCCAAGAAAATATGCTGGCATTATAACAATTGTTGAATCAATATCATCACCAACATATACTAGAGGTCTTGAATTTACAACGGCTTCTACTTCTTTTAAAACTTGTGATAAGTTGGTCAAAATTTAATACTTTTTCTACCAATTTTTTGCGTAAAGATCTTTTTTAACCAAACCTACAAAGTCGTTCGTAAAAATCCCCCCATCCATGGGGCAAGTTCGACATTAAAGGACCACTTTATTCCTTGATTTGCACTGTATTGAATGACATCTTCAGAAACGAAAATGTTTTTCCAAACATGACTTGTTGTTTCACTAGCAAGTTTAAATTGTAATGCATTATCACATATAATCTCTTGCGGTGTTCCTCTTGTTGCAATAAATCGCCGAAGACAATTTAAAAATGAAACTGTTGTCATATCTCCGACAATTTCGAGATGTATAGCTCGTGTAATCATACATGTGAACAGACAAATCCACACCTTTTTGAGTTCAGCATTTACTTTCGTATATAATGGTCCTAAATAGTCTAAGCCAGTGTTCAAAAAAGGAGTTCCTTCGCAGACTCGTGATTTTGGTAATGGGGCCATTTGCGGCATTTTATAGGGCCCACCCTCTGTTCGGCGGCATATTAAACAATCATGTATTACTTTCCGAACAGTAGCTCTACCGCGAGGTACCCAGTATTTCAATCTTAAAGCACTCAAAGATTGTGAAACACCACTATGAAGAACCTTTTCATGTATTCTTTTAATAATCAAATACGTGAATTTGTCACTCGATGGCAAAAGTATAGGGAAACTTCCCAAAATTCCTGTTAAAATCCTGGAATTTCCCAAAATTTCCCGGCCCTTTGCACCAAAATTTTTCCCATTTAAAAATAAATTTTAAATAACCCTAATTGTTTTTTCTCAAAATTTAAATTTACTTTTCTTTGATGATTTAAGATATACTTCAGGAAATGATTTATGTTGAATATGTTTTATCCACCATTCCTCTACTTCTGAAATGTCTTCATTGTTTAATGTTGACTTATTTAGATTTTTGCCTTTTAAGATTTTAATGAATTGTAGGCAAAAGGCAGTCACTCTCAGAAGTTTTGTCACTGAGGAATAATTGTCATACTTTATTTCAAATGGCGCATTTTTATTCTCTGTAGACTTTGAAATTTTGTTTTTGACTATGATCTCACTAAAGATACTTGCTTCATGCTCATTTGTTATATTTTCAGACAAAGGTATGATGCTTTCAGAATATTCTGTAACTGTCTGTAAGGTACCAATACTTTTTACTGGCCAATCACATTCGTTTTTGATTAGCCAAATAGGACCTTTCCACCATTTTCTATTTTCTTTCAAACTTTCTGCAGAACAGCCTCTACTTGCCACATCCGCAGGATTTTCCTCAGTTGGGACATATAGGAAATGTACGTTTTTATGCTTTTTTATTTCTTTTACTCTGTTTCCAACAAAAACAGACAAAGGTCTTTCAGTATTGATCCATTTCAACACGCATTGAGAGTCAGAAAACAGAAAAACTTTCGCTATCGGTAGTTCTAATTCCTTCTGTACAAATTCAATGCATCTACATCCTATTAATACAGCTAAAAGCTCTAGTCTCGGTATGGTGACTTTAGTTGTTGGCGCGAGACGAGTTTTTGCAAATACTAGTTCAGAATTGCACTTATTTTCACCAGATTGCACCAAATAAATACATATTGCATATGCATTAGCTGATGCATCACAAAAGCAAACTAGAGAATTTGTTACACTGAACTGATCACCAAAAGTAACACATCTGTTTATTCTAAAATCTGATATTTTGTTTATATCATCAACCACATTTCTCCAATTTTCTTCATCTTCATCATTAAGCTTATCGTCCCAATCATAATGCTTTATCCATAATTTTTGCAAAAGCAATTTTCCATTCAAAGTAACAGGAGCAAACATTCCAAGAGGATCAAATAATTTAGCGACTTGTTTTAAAACTGTTCTCTTTGTAACAGTATTTATATCCAATATTTTACAAGGCTTTACTGTTAATGTGTCAGATTCACTGTCCCAATTCATTCCGAGAACTTTCATGATCCTTTCATTTGCTTTATCACCGACAGAAAACAAATCTGTTACTTGTTTATTGTTTGACGCCCACTCTCTTAAATTCATACTTGCATCATTAAAGGATTTGCTTCGCTAGTGTGTAACACTCTTTCGGCCTGTTTGTACTGGTATCTACAACCAGTTTTATTAATGTTATCCATATAGATATTCCTTTTTTAATTGTTTGGAATATAGCGTTGTTGTAAGAATCGCAAATGGTACTTCAATAACTCAAAAAGTATAAACGGAACTTGATTACCAACCAAAGGGAACACGGCAAAATCTAAACCTCTTTGTAAATTATTATCAATTGAATGTGTTTTCGGTGTCTTTTAGCCTATAAATCTTGTAAACATCTCTTTGATCAGTATTTAAATGCTATTTGGAGGAAAGCCTTTTCAATATCAGATACAATACCTTATTTTATGCTTAACGAAATCTTATAAATGTTTCAAACATTTAAATCATCGCAATAGAACAGGTTCCTCTATAAAGGCATTCATTCAAGCTGTTATGATCTAGTTTTGTTTTTGCGGATGCGTCATATACTATCGTTGTTGAATGATGAGGTAAATAGTGACACAGTCCATCTCTTTTATTTTGTGTCACCTTTTCAATGATTCCATTTTCTAATTGTTCTTTCAAGACACTACTATATTTTTGTAACAAATCAGGATGGTTTTCAAGTTTTCTGACGACTGATTTTAGACGACCTACTGCAAGTTGTCTATTCTCAGGTATATCTGGGGTTTCATCTTTCCACGGCCAAGACACGTGATATCGACCATCTTTGTACGAAAGATTCTCAATAAATTGTGACATGGCATTGGAATCATCACAGTTAACTATTTCATCCCTTATTCCAATAGAATCTAATTTCCAAAAGTTTTCAATATCCACTTTAGTTGAAATACAATCATCTACACATGATAAATCTTCTGCATTTGGAAAACACATTTCATTACCAATCACTAATAGATTCGTATCACAATCATTGTCACATTTTTCTCCTGTTCTTCCAGTAAGTATCCAACCTAACTTTGATGATAACAGATATAAACCTTTTTGAACTTCAATTTTATGTCCAATTACTATGTCTAGGTAATAATCGCTTCCAATCAGTAAATCAATTTTGTCACTTTCATCTTTTTCTGGAATTTTGTCGGCCAAATATAAATTCTTTTTTAATTCATCAAAACGCTCTCTATTTTCAATATTCACCGATCTTCTTTGTATTACACCGGTGATGTTCGGAACAATGTTCACAGTAATCTCAAGTTCCTCACCAAATTTAGATTTCAGTTTAATTTTTGCAGATGCAGTTTTGATCTTCTTTGACTGTTTGCTTCCAAATGTAGCTAAAGTTATTTCCTGTTCATTTTCTTTACATAATTTTAATTTCTTTGCAAACTCTTCTGTTATATATGTTCTTTGTGAACCCGAATCTAACAAAATCCTCGCATCTTCTTCAATCAGTTTATTTTCATTACACAGTATTGCACTTGCTGTTTGCATTACAACCTTTTCGCCATATGATAAAAGCACGTTTTCATCATTTTGACTTTGCTCACTTTCACTTTCATTTCCTTCTTCTGTTACATGCGCACTTTCTTTAATCACACTTTTCTTAAATTTTTTAGGGCACAAACTTCTATGGTGTACATTTTCTTCATTACAATACACACATTTCTTTCTACTTTGACATTCTTTTGAACTATGTCCCTCTTTTAAACATCTATAACAGCTTTTCTTTAAGCAACCCTTTCTTTCATCTATTGTTTTATATTGTGGACATTCGTCACTCCAATGACTCTTTGAACAATATCTACATTTTATAGAATTGTTCCTATTCTGCCCTACTTTTGTGCAATTTGTTGTCAATGCTGTTCCAAGTACTGGTTTAGTGGAATGTGCATAACTGTCTTTAGAAAATTTTTGGTAATGATTGTTTTGACTTTTATTTTTATCAAAATGCCTTTCAGATTTGACAAAACCACTTTTAACTGTTGAAGCACGTTCACAAGCAGTAACATATTCAATTATCATGCCACGTAATAACACAATGGTCCACTTTTTACTCGAACCCTTTTTTATTTCAAGTTGTCTTAACACATTTGATGGCAGTTTTGACTTTAACACCGACACAAACAAGTCTTGATTGACATTTTGACCAAGAGCCTCAAGGCTTCTCAAATGTCTTTCAACAGAGTCACATAATTGTCGTAAACTTTCCACCGAATCATTCGCTGATCTTAAATTCACTATCTTATTGTAGTGCATATCAATTGTTTCTTGAATGTTTCCAAATCTATCCTGTAAGGTCTTAATTGCAACTGAATAATTTTCATTCGAAAATCCTGCTATAGCACCCTTTGCTTCACCAGTAAGTTTACTCCTGAGGTAATTGAATTTGTCAATATTGCTAAGAGTATCACTTGAATGTATTGAACTTTCAAAAGACTGCCAAAATTCAGTCCATTTAAGTCTATCGCCATAAAAAGTATGAATTTCAGGTTTTGGTAATTTCACATTATTCTTTTTAAAACTTGAAAATTCTATCATTTTACTTTCAAATAATTCCTTTTGCAACTGAATAACTTCCTTTAATTCTGTATTATCAACATGTTTAGTTTCACCTGTAATTGTATCACTTTCTATCAAATCGTTTAGATGTATTTCAAGCACTTTCAAACTTGGAGTCAGTTCCAACGCATTTTCTAACAATTTAGTATCTTCAGACATTATTTGGTCTTCTATATCTTCTTTTTGCTCCTCGGCACTAACAATCACTTTTTCTGACTGAGCCTCAAGTTTTGACATATATGTTTGTAGTTTATCGATTGACACTATCACTTTTGATAATATTTCTTTTTTATTAACGTCACTTAAATCTAGACTAATAAGTTCCTTTCCATTATGTATCTCCTTTTTTAATGTGTTCACGAACCTTGTTCGTACTCCTTTAAGATATTTGAGTGTAGTCATTTTCACACTTAATTTTATAAACACCTAATTTTATAAACACTTAAAGTGTATGATATTTAAACTTAAGCAGTAAATTTCAGTTTAAAACTGTTTCATTTCGTAAATATGAAATATGTTTAGTTTTATTTTGTTTACCAAGTTTTTCACAACACACAATTCAGGGAATATCCTTTATGTATTTCCTTTTAATGTTTTGTATAATCCATGAAAGCACAACACAATTCCTGTTTTTAACACATTTTTTACACTTTGCTCCTGACACTTTTCATTGCATTAATACACATCACTTTGAACATATGAATGCGAAAACAAAATTATAACACTTCACAAATACGCGATATATAGCTACTTTATCTAACATGGCATAGCTAGCAACCAGCAATCTACGTTTTAAAACTGTTTATTAAGTAACACTTTACATCACTACACAACAATATTTTAAACTTTAATTTACACTCCCGGGTTCCGGCGCCAAATCAATGTGGTAGACTTTCTTTTTCTTTTAACTTATGTTTCATAGACTGAAATCTTTCTACCACACTGAAACAGTGTTTGAATTTATTTCACCCTTTGTATTATGTTTTTTACTACTAAGTATTTGTTATAACTATTTGTTATAACAATTACTTTTTTAATATTAGAAAATAGAACTAAACACAAGAAACGTTTTACAGTTTAATATGATACCTAACTTTTATGATTTATTAACAAACATCAATTTTACTATGCTCAATATAAAACTCTTTTTTATCTTTAAATGTAACCACAGAAACTAAATAATTTTAAATATCCAAAATATATCACTTTAATTTTAATCCAAAAGTAGTTTCAAGAAGACCTTACACACTAAGAACCTAAATAATTTTCTGACTTGTATGCTAAATCATCTAAGCTTATATACTAATAAAAGGCGGGAAAATAATCAAGAAAAGCATATAAAGCATGCGGCGGGAAAAGAGAAAGGAGTTTACAATGAAATAATACATTTTAAGGAGTTTTCTTATTACTTTAACAAAATCAGGAGCATACTCAAATGAAAAGTAGTTCAATTTAACTTTGCTATAAAAGATTATGAAATTACAAAATTATTAAATAAATCAAAACATGTATAACTTACAAAAAATTCGCAAAGTTTGCGACACTGTAATCCAAAAGTTTTTGATGAGCATCATCATTACTCAGAAGTGTTTCTTCAAGGGATGGAGAAGCACTTTCCACACTTTCCATTTCCGCTGTATTCTATCTACAAAATAAAATACAATCCAACAAACTAAATAGAAAGAAACGGTAAAACACTCACATACTAATAGTTTTTAATAAATTGGCAGTCAGGTTAATTATAAACATAACTGTAAAAGGGGAACACTTTTAAAATGTTAAACAATGTTTCAAAAGATAAACTATATTAGAATATATGAAACAATATATAAAATGTGTACTTACATTATTAATTATAGGTGTTTATATCCTACATAAAAAGCATGAAAAAGCTCAGACGTCCTCTCACAACTGCTAATTTGAAATGAAAGACCGCATCAGTATGTTTACAGGTAACTAATGAACATGTGATGACAGCCATGTAACTATTTTCAATGATCGATTTAATCTATTCAAATCTCACCACCGTCTATTGCCATCAATATGTCTTTAGAAATATATACTTCAATGACTATAGAAAGTTGTCAATACTTAACAGATCAATACATTGAATATATTAAACTTTTGGTGAAAATATAAAATAATATTGTTTTGATTTCCGATAAATAATTTATTTGCATCACATAAAACATATATAAAAATATAAAGGACAATTACAGATTACTGAGTTTTAGATCTTCTTTATATTTCTTTACTATAATACTTACTTTCTCCCAGTTTTTTCATGTCTCCAATTTCTTACATCTTTAATATTTTTTTCGAGGGATCCCTCTAGAGGTTACAATTTTAATTTTTTTGGCGGGTACTATAATTATCATAATTTAAGCATTTCTGTACTTTTCAATTTGGGGGTATAACGGGATGATATTTTTTTTTCCAACCTTGAAATAGTTTTCATTCCGTTATCCCATTATTTTTTTTTTTTTTTTTTTTTTGGTGGGGGTCGAACCGGGTACTATAATTATCATAATTTAAGCATTTCTACACTTTTCCATTTGAGGGTATAACGAGAAGATATTGTTTGTGTTGGTGGGGTGGTCTAGACACGCTCAATTGCTATACTACTGTTCTACCAAAAGCTTTATATGGCCGCGAGCTATGGAATTCTGTGCAGTCATCGGCAATTTTACGCTTAGAGAGAGCGCACAGAGAATGTATTAAGTGTATACAAAAAATACCCCGCAATATATCGACAGTTATCTCCCTTGGTGCATTAGGTATGTTTCCCATTGAAGCTGAAATTGCTAAACGCAAACTGATATTCTTTGGTCAGATTTGCAGACTCCCAGAGAAATATATTGCAAAACAATTCTTTGTACATAGACAAGTGATCGGATATATTCCTGATATGTATAAGCTATTAAGTAAATTTAATTTGCTCCATGTACTAGACGTGTATTCTGTATGTGGTACATTCCCAGAGAAACAAGCTTGGAAAATCGCTGTTAAACGGAAAGTTCATGAGTGGTATATCAATGAAAGAAACGAAACTTTGCAAGGGCTCATGTCTTATCAGCATATAAGCACTGTGTTTCAGGGTGAGAATATTTGCCTGTTTTGGTCTTTATGTAAAGGGAATCGCTCAATGAAAGATGCATGTTACAATGCTGTTTATATTCTAGGAAGATTATACTCATATACAGATATAGAGTGTTGTAACAAATGTAACAAATGTAATGAGTTGACTAATAAACTTACTCTCCATAAGATATATGTGGTTATATATTTTGAATTGTATAGGAAAAAATGCCTATCTAGACTATATTATACAAGATGAGAGAAACCAACTGTGCGATATTTTGTCGGGTTTTAGAGATTATAACTCTGCGTTTGATTATAATGCCCGGCTATGCTCATGTCTTACATATTTGTTTAGGCTTTGTAAGTGACCACATATATTTCAAGTAAAGCTTTGTCTTAACTTCAGAGTTTAGGGAAATACATCGTGATATTACATTACAATAGACTGTGTTAAAACAAAAATAAAACTGTAATTTCATGTCTCATCCGCTGTTCAGTTCTTGTGTTTCGTTTCGATAAGCATTGAACTCTGCGGATTCCACAGTATATGCTAGAATGTATTTAATATTATAATATAAGACAATATAAGAAACATGTTCATATGATATATTAGAAAATTTGACAGCAAATATAACTCCTGTTGTATAAGATTAATTTCCTTAGTTTTTGATCCTGTACTTCTTTTTCGACATGTGCAGTCTTAAGGAAATTGCCTCTCTTCACTTATTATTAATGCTGTGTTTCATAACATGTTTTGTGTTTTATCATTTCATGTAAATATTTGTATTTTATGTATGTATATATGTTATGCTCTTCAAATATTGGAGGAAAAAAAAGAATATATACATAACCAGCATTGTATAACCGCTTAATAAAACTCCAAGATGACCGAACAACAACTGCTTAGCATTAACATTAACATGTGTTTGTTTCAGATAATACAAAAAATACTTCAAAAAATGAATATCCTCTATCTCGAATTCTGAATGCTTTCGAATTTAGATAAGGTTCCATTTTTTAAATGATCGAAGATTTTTGTTTTGGTACGACCTAAGTATGGAAACAAATAATGATAAGTCTTTTCGTATTGATATACAAGACACTTTCTTAATAAATTGAAGCAATATATTTTTTTAAACAATTACGATTTCTTGGGTTTAGTATTTTTTCGACAGCTTATATTTCAGCAATAAGCACTTATTGCTGAGGTACCATTGTAACATTCAATATATGCTAAATAGCAATTCTTCTTTGGAGTCGACCTTAATACGTAATATTATAAGATCCTGTAACACAATTTTTTTATAGTTTTAAATTATAAATATGATGCTCAAATTAAGATTTATCAATATTGTAGATTCCAAAAAGCAAAAATAATAAAGATTTTACCGAATTTAACATTTCATGTAAATAAAGGAAGGCATTTAGAAATTTATTTTCTATAAAGTTTTAGTCAATTTTTACAATAAGAAATTGATGCATACATTTTAATGATAACATATTATGTGCACACATATCTGCATACATATTTTACATATTCTCCGATTTTTGTAAATTGTTTTATTTGCATAATTCTGTACATATATATAATTTCATTTAATGTGGTTTACTACTTTGATCACAACATACAGGATCTTTAGACATAATCATGTATTTCCTTCCTGAGTACCACATAGCAGTCTTTTCTCTTTAAATAAGTATACAAGTAACAATTTTCAAGAAATGTATTACTGTATAACAAAACACCTGGCTAAAAGCCAGAACAAACAAGTGGTTAACAGGATCATTTATGTATTGATCAGAGCGGTAAAAATAGCTCATAAAATAACATTCTATATCTCAACTGAACGTGTTTCTTGTGACAAAGAACAATAAACGTATATAAGTAACTAACACGAACGCTGAATTAAGATTAGATACTTTTATTACAAATTGAAAACATGCAAAGAATCTTGTGACTATTTCTCAAAACTTCTGCGATTTAATAATGTGTTCGACATAAGTCTGATATTAATTAAAGGAAATATAAATATATATAATGGAATAATAACATATCTTTAATATTTTGTATATATCCGACATTATAATTTATATAAATTTAAGACCTAATTTCTAAATACCCAGTGACACATTCAATACATTCGACTAACGTCTTTTTGTACAGTATTATAATAGTACTAATGATTATTGTACAAAATATTCTGTTACTATATAGTCATAAGGTCAAACAATTGAACAAATCAACCTAAGTACCAAATCATAAATAGTTGTACGTGAGGTCGAATTATTATTATACGATACCGTAAGGTAGAACAAATAATTAGAATACAAATATCGATTTTGGAACCCAACAAATTTACAACAATATAAACACTATAAATATAGTTTTAAAAGTCATGTAAAAACTGTGTTAATATTACGCTCATGTGATTATCACGCAACACCGGATTTCAGCATTCATTTTATTAAATGCTATTGTAAAAAAAAATACCGTCCTTTTTTAAATTATTACTACTGTTTTTTCATGACTTTTAAAACTTACCAATGACTTTGTTTACAAAAAGAGCGCTTTCAAAATTAGTATAAATCTACAGCCTATAAAAAATATTTCGTACATGTATTTAAATATTCTGACATTGCTTATTTCTGTCAGAATTTATGCATGAAATTAAGCAAAATCGCCAATTTTTCATCTTCCGTATGGAATTTTGAATAAACCTCAAGGTACTAAAGATATTACATTCATGAAGATAAATGCTTTTTAAACTTGGCAAGGGTGTTAACTTGTCGATTGTTTTATTTTTAATTATGCTAAAACTGATCTTAAGCTGTAGTTCAAATGGCCTATTTCTTCGAAAACTACGTCAATTTACCCAAACATTGTGCCCGAAATAAAACAACACATGTAGAACTTGTCATTTATAACCACACTAATTAATTCTCAAAAATAAAGGTCTAATAAAGGTCTCATTAAAACAGTTGACTTTTTTTCATTCCTGATTTGAACCACTTATGTGAACATTAAGGTCTATATTTACACAGACATTTTTTACCAAAACTGCACTTTATCTGAAATTTTTGTACATACCTTTGATTATATACTTTGTTGTATGAACATATTGATCTAGTTTCCCTTAATTGTTATTTATCTTCAATATGTCAAAGTATAGCAAATGAGATGGCATCATGTTGATATGTTTGTGTTTTTCAATGAAACAACATGCATTGTAAATACAATATTTTCATTAGAATAGTGTAGTTGAAGTTTAGCTCTTTTATTTTTATAACTTCTGAATATCTTAAATCCATGTTTGTCCAACTGTTTTAAGGTATCTAACTGTACAAATGGATTTGCATCACCCCAGTAATTATGCATATAAGACATAAAACCATCTTTCTTTAAGCCATTAGTACGTCGGCCGAAATGAATTTCAATCACCAATTGTTTTATATATTTATTTGATACTGATGCTAAGATTTGCGGTATTGCTTTCCATTCATCTCCTTCAATGTCTATTTTAAGAATGTCCAAGACCTTCTGCAAAAACAATAGAAAATATATACACTCAAAAGGCAAGAGGAGATCTGTTTGTTTTGCATGTAAGATTGAAATATATTTCACTGAGTGAACACTAGATGCAATATTTTCACGAGTGCCATAGCCACGAGTGAACATAGAATAACTGGTGTTCACAATTGAAATATATTTCAATCTTATATGCAAAACAAATATTTTTTTCTTTTTATTTTATGCTTAATAAGTGATTTTAAGTATTTTAACTGGTTTTATCGCGTTACTTCGTGCACTCTCCTTTATGACGTCATCATATAAATTAAATGATATTACATCATCAACTTTTGAAATATAGCTCTATTCTGTTAAATTTCTCTAATTTTGTAAAATTTTAGCATGATGCATGGTAACATCGACTATCATTCTCTGAAAAAGGCAAAATGTACGTATGGCCGTATTTATTTTTGACTGTTTTTCCATTTAGTTATGATATTCTTTTCATCCGCATTCAGATATAGTTCGGCTACAGTGAACATTTTTTCACTAGTGGTTTATCAAAATATAATCATCTGATATATATTACAGTTAAACAGTGGGAAGCATGAAATAAATGGTCTTAATTGCGGAGTCGACTCAATTGTTGATATTCTTATGACCACGACCTATTTAGTCGTTTTGTATGAACAAACAGTGTGAATCTAAATCAAGCAATTTAATGTAAAAGTATGCCATAGTACTCAATCTGATGAAAGCTAAATTTATTTACGAGATAATTAATGTGTAATATTAAATTCATATTAGTCTGATATGATGTGTATAGTTGATCTACCAAATAACAATTTTGTTAATCATATAAAATGAATATATATGCAGAACATAGACAGACAAACTTACAGAATTGTGATTAAGAAGCGTTCTTATGGACGACAATGTTTTCATATTCCAGCCAAATATACTTTTATGGTCAAAGTCTGATAATCCAATTAAATGGAAATTTATACCTTCAGGGATTCGATGTCCAGCTATAGGCATACTGAAAATGATAAATGGTAATATTTATTATTTGGTCAATTTTGCATGAAGTTAAAGATAAAATATGCTTGCATTAGATATAAAAATATACGCAGTTTCTTTGTAAATATAAAAAAGCACCTATTTTGACAACAAAAAGGTATATATGTCATGTTTAAAACTTTACACACTATAGGCGGTTACACTACGAATATATGTAAAAAAAGAGGTAGTTTTGTTTAAAGAAAGTACCAACTTTACTTATCTCGTAATAGAGAATGCAGCTTCCAGTGCATAATGTTTTAATTCCTTTATTAACATTAAACATATTTTTATAAAAAATATATAGACTTCAAACAATGTTTGTGATTATTTATTTTTACTTAAGGATGAGCATAGTATATCTTTATGTCTTTTTTCTAGCCTACAATTCACAGAGCATAACAGTTTATTGAACTAGCTTATTATTTTCCTATAACAATCAATGAAATTCGTTTAACTATAACGTAAATTGACTTATGTGTTATATGTTATGTCACGTTTTTATTCATCTCAGTTAGTGTTTGTAGAACAATACACAAACTGAAGAAAAATGATTATCACTGTTGCTATGACATTTTGTTTTTGAAAATATGAATTGCACATTGTTTATCATGTCATTTATTCAATCTTAATATGCAGCCAAACTATAGTATTGTCCATCATTGCTAGTCAATTGTATTTTATGACCTAATTTTTGTAGTTACCTTGGATCAAATGTATGTATTTCGCAGTTATATCGTCTGTACACGTCATTTTCAAATCCAAAATGGAAATGTGAGCTACAGAAAGAAGAGTGTAGGAAAATATAATACATCAACAGTATAGACCCTTTCATTTAAGACCGGATTTAAGTTGTTGCCCTTGAATGACGTCATGGGTGAATACGATTGACATTGCCGATACGATATTTTATATTAATAAAGGGATATTATGGTCTTAATACTTTCTCTTGTAAGATTGGCAGATTAAAATTGCCAACATTTTGTGTAATTTAAAAATGTATAATATAAAAAGAATGATCAAATGAATAAAATGATATTATTGTTCACCATAATAAGGTAAACTATTTGTTTCAATACAATACCATATGGAAATTTACTGAAAATACTTACATTTTTCGTTTGATACTAAATAATGAAAATTGTCGCACCTTGTTTAACCAGGCAATTAAACCGAACTAACATGATAATACCAGATATTTATGTCTCTTCTAATAAAAGGTTCCCAAGAAATATTTTGAGTTTCAAAACTGTAAGTATTCTGCAGCTTTGACACAAGGCTGCGTAATAATTAATTTCGAGATACTGGTTGATTAAAAATAACTTTGATTTTAGCAGTACTAAGACATAGAAAATCAATAATATGAATTTATATAGTTTTAAAAATGTGTTCATGTAAAAAAAAGTTAAAATTCTTTTGGATGTACATAATTGAATACTATTTGTGTCGGCAAAAAAGCAACTCTAAAAAATCGTTCATCTGCCAATTACATCAAAGCTTGTAAAGTGATATCTTAAACTTGATATTTATTTATTTAATTCATATTCTGATTATCTTTTTTTAAATGATCAATATCCAAATTCGGATTATAAATATTTTGACAACTAACAAATGTGACGTAATATGATGCAATGTTATAAAATTCTGAAACAAAGTGATCCCTCGGAAGCATTAATCACAAGAAAATAACATAAGAATTGCAGACTCGGTTTGATTGAGTCTGTACATCAGGGATAATGAATAGGTGCAACATCCCTCAGGCCCCCTAGCACCGGCTTGAGCGGTACTCAATTCTCAACACTTAATAATGTTGACATCAATGATCCCGAAGGACCAGAAAATATAACAACACTGAAATGAACTCTAAAATATGCACCCTGGTGAATTATGATATCACAGTCAAGTGCCGCGTGTATAATAAACATCGTACGCACCCTGTTTATTGATAGGTTACGGCCCATTGGTTACTAGGAACGGGTCTTTATTTTCATAATCATACGAATAGATTTGTTCGTCTGTTGCAAATCGAACGATATAAAAGTCATGTACACATGGTTTTCGTTCTATCAGGAATATTTATAAACGTTATATCCTACACTGGTTCTTTCAACGATATTTTGCCTGGCATAATGAGAAAAGAATCAATAAGTGTCAACAGAATGCATTCTGCTATTGGAAAAAAAAGCATTACACAAAATAACAATCTTATTTTCATTTTTGTCACAAAATACACGGAATTTTCTAAATGATAGAAAATCACACAGAAAACTAGAAAAATTTCCCTTTAAATTTATATTAGGTTATCACTGTGTATGGGTGTTAATAAAATATTAAAATTTGATTTAGTTCCTGGCATTATATATATATATATATATATATATATATATATATATATATATATATATATATATATATATATATATATATATATATATATATATATATATATATATATATATATATATAATTCCGTGTATATATATAATCTCATGCCAGGAACTAAATCAAATATATATATATAATAATTCACTTTGAAAGTCCGATGTTTTACCATGTAGCAAGAATTAATCTGAATCTTTGTTTTTGTATTTTTGGTTTTTATATTCTTGATATGAAATTTATGTATCCATAAGTCAAATTGTTCATGTTATAATCGAAATTTACGATCAGTATTTTAACTTTCAATAAGCTAACATTCTACGCGATTTGTATAGTAGAATCCCCATTTACGTCACATCCGGTAAGGAAAGTTATTCGACGGTTTTCGCTTAAATGAAAGGGTCTATTAAAAAGTAATTTTGATAGAAAAAAATCCATTCAAAATCTTACTTATATCAATTTATTAAAAAACTGCAAAAGGAAATAAAGAAATCGGCGCAGTATTTACAGGAAAACATGTTTGTGTGCGATATTATCCCGCTCTGAGTTCATTTCATTCGGAGTTGGAAATGGGGAATGTACCTTGTCTAATATCTGAGTAATGTTATCTGAAGGTTGGCATTCTTTCTAAATTAGTCTTGTAATGATTGTCATATTCAATAAGTTTTTATCTTTGTAGTAAGTAGAAAAGAGATAGGGAACAATTGAACTAAAGTCTGTCGCATTTATTTTTCTGCTTTGTAAGTAAGGAATTGGTTTATAATAAAAACAATATTGTGTACTTATTCACCTACCCGAAGGAATAAACAAGACAAGGTTGCGTTGGCACATATGCGGAGTCAATACAAATGTCATATCCTGCATCATTGCTTGGTTCGCATCTTGAAATATGTTCACAATCCGTTTGCAGTGTTGTGACATACCTATGTTTTTCATCAGATAACAAAAAAACAACAACATATATTATTCACTTCACCGTGAAATATAACATCATGTATACATTATGTTGTTTGTTTTTAAATATGAGTATGAAATGTATTGAAACTTAGAAAGCACTTCCTTGATTATATTGTAGATGGGACTTCGAATCATTTGCATTTATTTTTTATAACTAGATAGTTTAGGTTCGTTTGAAGAAAATGAATGCCCTTTTATAAATGTATATAACACATTTTCCCTATACGATTCATTTTTGAACCTATTTTAAGTAAAACAATTGTATGTAGTAACCTTTCATATTCGAGGTACAAGCTGTCTTCCATAATGGTGATGTCGGATGTTAAGTTAAGGATTTCTTGCTGAAAACAAAATATAAATATGGTGATATATATTACTGAAATTAGTATATCGCCCAGCATACTAAGTACATGTACATTTAACTGTTTCTCTTTGTTTCTCTTTTTTTTGTTATTTAACTATTTGCTTCAGGATCTGTTATATATATTTTGCCGACACTTTTTTTTTTTGAGCAAATAAGTACATTGTTGACTTATCTAGATTACAATTATTATACTCATAAATATATAAATTAAACATACATATTTTTTGTAGGATATTTTAATCCATTATAGATGTAAATTGCACTAATTATTTAATTATTTAAATTTAGTTTTCACTTTGTCAATAAATTATATATTGATATTTTTTTCATATTTGGTAGAAAGGAAACTTGCTCTTAGTATTCTTTCCTTTGATATTGCGTGATGGGTCAGTGGGTCAAGGTTAAGTATGGAACATTTTATTTCTAAATATTTGCTTAAACAACCTTTATACATTCATAATTCATATTAGGAACGAAATATTTTGGTCCTCTATTTGGAGTCAGCCATATCTTTTACACTTTTACACATTTTTCTGTTTGGAAATAAATCTCTCGACTCGGACAAAAACGACATCATCTTAAAACATGTGCAAGTCTTTATAACACATACACAAAGACTTAAGCGCTAATTAAAACCCACAATCGCTTCATCCCTGAAAAAGACCGACACATCTCAAATCTTTTTTCCCCTCCTTACAATACTCCATGGACTTTCCTTACCTTTATTTCCTCTCTTTGATAATTACTGTAGCTAAAATGTTTTGAAAAATCAATACATTTTTCTTTTTGTATTTTTTGGTATGTTTTATCTGTTTTTCTTTTTAATTAAAACCATTTCTTCCTTTTCGTTTATTTATTTTGTTCCGGTTCAAAAATGTTTCAAATGAAGTTACATCGTCAGTGCAGATTCTTATGACAGACAGAAGCGAGGCTTAGTATAAGCTACAAAGCTTTATCCTCTATTCTGTATGTTATACTAGCATAATGATTGTTTTTATTATTTTTCTATTTGTTATTACTGGATTGTGTATAATTGTATAACATGTGTGTAAATCTATTTGGAAAATAAATATTGTTTGAACCAACTTCCTTGCACTTATAGAGCATTCATGTGTTCTTCGTACAAAACCATTGAATCTTATCACATATATCAACGTTCAATTTTACTTTGTTAATTATGTTTTTTGTCTTCATTATAGAAAATAAAACTGTAGACACTTCATGAGTATTGATAGATGAACCGTTCTTTTTAGTGATTACAATCACAATTTACCAACATTTTTTTTTGTTCTTCAAACATTTCTCATATCAAATTAATAAGTTTATATGTCAGCTAAATAGTAGTTAAATTTTTAACCGCTTATAAACGGTCTCACCGACTATCATTTCCATCATTTTGTTGCCAGTCATTTAGGCTTTACGAAAAACTTTGTTGGTTGTCTATTAAGACTACATACATGTTAGTTTTGCTATACGTGCCTTGTATAAAAAGACTGATATAAGAAGACTAGTTAGTTGAAAAACTGTATCCAACTTAATAAAAGATACATATCAGTTTTCAAGGTCAAGTGTGTAATAGTATCAATTAAGTCTCTCTATAATTTTCAAACAAACATCTGCTGTGATTCAAGTGAATGCTTAAAAACAAAGCGATTTTTTTCTTAGGAGCTTTATGATTACAGTCCCATGTACTTACACTGTCATAAAGTGAAACTAAACGATCATTAAGAATTGCAAATATGACATCACTGTTTTCATTTTAGCTTTGTGAAACTTTGCACCAACCAATAATGGGTGGTTTTGAAAACCTCAGGTGCACATCCTTCAGCTATTTCCAATTAGAATGGACACCTAAGTAGAACCACCGACGTTCCGTATGTTAGCTGGACCGATTGAATGTACGGGTCGATTTTGTTTTCAGTTTACCCCTCGCACAGATATATGTGATGTGGTGATGCAAAATAACACGTAAAGTGAACATCGTGATGGAAAGACAAATGTGAGAAATGCGAAATTTCAATTACAGAAAAGAGGAGCAGATATATTGGTTTGTTTCAAAATATAAACATTTTCAAATTTGATCAAGATATTAATTAAAACTCAATACATATTATTTTGGATAATCGAATATTATAAATATACATTTCACCTTTATTATTCTTGAATAAAAATGTTTTGTATTTGAATCTGCACTAACGTTTAAGGGTGGGGGTTAATTTACCTCGTATTTTTGGTATATAAAAGTATTAATGCTGTTTAGCTACTTTATAAATTAAATAAATTAATAAACAGGAAAAAAAGTTCCCATAATCTAACAAATATGTAACAATAACAGTGCTCGTTACTTAACGCTCACAATATTTTTTTTTTATTTTATTTTTTTTTACAAATAAAGGAAAATATCTCAGACCAAAATATTATGATGTTTTTTGTATTTCAACATGGCATTTTTGAGGTACTCATTTTTTTTTTCAATCACTGGAATGACTGGAATTTGCAATACATATCTAGCCTTATGCGTTTTCAATTTATAAATCGATTTATATTTGTATTTAATGATTTGGTTTTAAGTTATATTAGTAAATTTAATGTAACAAGTGTTATTCCTTAAAGATACGTCCATTTGTGAAATATTGATTACATGTTTGAAAATGAACAAACAAATGAATACATATACTGCAAGTATACACACAATTAAAATAGAAACAAATTAAATAAAGAGTTGATTCGCCTATTTTATTAAGGACACACTTTTTTGTGCATTATCTATCATATTCTCCACGTTTTGTAAAGTGCGTTTTTGACAGATATTTTATACCTATACAAGTGCTCAATGAGAAACATCTATATAAAATAGAAACATGTCATATTAACATACACTGTAAGACAGTCATATTTTTGTTTTCATTATTTCAAATTATTGTTAACGTTAATATTATTTAACAATAACAAATCGAAAATAAGGTAGAAATGATCAAACCTCTTTTCCAAAGTGAACTCTCGTCTCCTCCTTTGGTGCTAGTATATGAGCTAATATCAAATTTCGCCTGAATTAGGGTTCTGATTTTATTCAAATATGAATACCTTATTTAGCTGCAAAGTTTTATCTCATCTAGTAAGCATATGAATTTGAAAGCTAGTTTTACAAAGTGCAACATAAACTCGTCCATTTTATATCGTTTATGATTGTCAGAAGGTCAATATTGACCATTGTTTGTCTTTGCAGTAACGATAACGTTTTTTACATTTTTAATAAAATAATAATATCTAAACAACAAAGCAAAACAAACAACACAACTTTATATAAATTTCAGTTTAAGTCTGAAATGGGATTTTTTTATAGATGTATTTTTTTCTCTACAAAAGACTTTTTTTCGTCTTCAACTGTAAACAAAACAGGAAATTGAGTAAAACAATGTCAGTATGTTTCGCACGCACATAAGAATATCATTTTTTCTTGTTCTATTTTTATGAACAGAGTAAGTTTTATCAATCTGAATGCAAAAATAAACTTTTACTATGTTGCTATATTGCAGAACTAGAAATCAATCTGTGTTACACCAAGGACATGCTTGTTACTGCAAGGACTAATGAATGTTACTGAAAGGACTTATAACTGTAAATTTACGTTTATTTTGTATCATTGAACTAACAATTAAATGTTAACAACATACAGAAATGAAAATAAGCTTTGAATTATTCTTAAATAGATCTTGAATTTGAATAGCAAAAGTAAGGGAAGCTCTCTTTTAAAGTTACAGGACGGACATATTTGTTACTGAAATGACAAAAACATTTAAAATGGGGAAAAGTTACAAGTCTTTAAGGTAACCAAGCAATGTTGTGAGTTCGCATAATTCAGTCTTAACTCGTCCCAGTCAATTTTATAAACAAGTTCATAGAGAATATCATCAGAAGTTTTGAAGATTGATATTACATGCTATATTTTTAATCAGGAGTTTTCTAAGTTAAATAATTAAAATTAAATGCAAAGTTCTTGACCTTTTAGAATGCATAATTTTAATCCTCCTGAATGACTGTAAATAAATTTCCAGAGATTCTTTCTTGTGACAAAGCCATCATTTAGCTTACAAATTGTCAGTGGCCCTTCTGTCTGAAATAACCTGGGGTCTTTTTCAACCATTCAAGCTTGAAATTTGCCACCTGACCTTAAGAGTTTTGGTGCAGCATTTTAAGCAAACAAAACAAAATAGAAACTGTGTTCACAAAGTACGATAATGCCAGGAATTTTACATGAGGCCAAAATAGGACTAGGAAAGTAAACAAACAGTCATGTTCTAAGTTTCACGGGACTACTTTTTAATGACTAATTTTAGTAGTTTTGAAGACAACAATTTTCTTTTGTAAAAATGCCTTAAAGGCTTGCTTGTGAATGATATAAGTTAGGTTTTATTTCTATTTTGCAAAGTAAACTGTTATTCTATGCAAAAAATAAGTCTCTGTAGAGATAAGTACTAAGAACTTTCCTTCAATATACTGGTACTGCCTTATTACTTTTATTTCTAAAATCGTTACAGTTATTTTGTGAAATGACATGCATTTCAATTACAACAAGATGTATATTGTCCTTACAGTAACTTAATGTTGAGGATTCTAAAGGGTGCAAGATTATTCAGATTTTCCTCAATTTTACAAAAGCATGTACTGTAAAAGCAAAAAATAGCCCAATTGAATATATATACTGAAACAAAAAGGAAACTTTCTCCAAGGTTGAATGTAGATATGTTAGTACAGTACATTGATTTTGAATTAAAAAGTCCTTTCAATAACACAGGTTGTCCTTCGAATAACAAAATAACATAAGGAGAAGTTTTAAATGGCATAAATGTCTAATTATAGAATAAATATATTAATAATAAATAGATTATGCCAACAAGAAAATGTTTATCGTATCTTTATCCATAATTATATGTTAAAGAAGATATGTGTTGTATTTTGTACTTTCAGTAACAGATTTTGTACTTGCAGTAACATTATTGTAAGGACAGTTACTGCAAGGACTTATTCAGGTTATTTTACAGTCTGTTTACACAGATAAGATAAGGGAGACAATTTTGATAATTTAATTCATGACTGAAACATATTTGCTAATAGCAGCAATACAAAAGGGAATCTTTCTCATAACTTAAATAATAAGAATCTCGTTACTTAAAGGACACTGTTCGAAATCATGGTTCCAACCTTTAATCAATGTCTTTCAATTTTCTAAATCCTATTTAAAATGCCCATATGTTTTGTTGCTGTAGCCATGTATTATACCTATCACCTTCTTTTGAAGAGCACACTGGAACAATTTACTTAAACTAAAATAATCTACTTATATTACTGTTACTTGAAGGACATTTTTGTCAAACAGGTTGGGGACAAAATTATAACTTGCATTTTGCAAATTGAAATACTTAACTGAGGCTTTTACTGTATAAATACATTATATAAAAGGTTATATTTTGCGTTAGTTGACAAAAATATGTATTTTAGTAATACAAATTTACAGGATAAACAGCTGAAATTGGGATTTTGACTTAAGGACAGGGGATAATCAGTTTTAATTTAGGTTTATGACACTACCAGAAAAAAATATGTTGAATATCTTATCCTGTAAATGTCTTAGTTAACAATATTTTATGTACTTACAAGCATGCAAATTTATTTTTTATAAAATTATCATGCATTTTGTGAAAAATTGAAAAGGACAAGATTACAGGCGAAATCTGATATTGGCTCATATATATTACTGCTAAGAGAAGCATTGCATTTAAAATCACAACGGGTATATACCTTCGCATTTTGTCGGTACGAATAAAAGATATTTGTTTAATATATGTTTTATTCAATAACTAAAGAAGATCAAATTTTATCATGAATACAGAAATATATCCGCTTTAAGTATTTTAGAAAGTTCTTTAAGCGAAATATAAAGCTGAATGTTTGACAAAACTTGTAATAAAACTAGTTTACATGTCGTTTAGTGTAAGAAACGCATGACCTGACTTACTAAGTTGAATCGCGATCTGAACATCTCGGCTATTATTGTTCAAAATAAATATAATTAAAGGAACTTGCTAAAATGTCTATACTTTTTTTATCTGTTATTTTACTTCACATTTATAATGAACATCCAACATGTCTCACCAACTGTAATATATAACCAGACTCTAAACAAAGAATGTCAATATTCTAAAAAAAAAAACAGCAAATATTTGCCATAGCTTTCTAACGCAACAGTGACATAAAGTCGTGTCTTGAACTATCCCCTACACTCGCGACTATAAGAACATGTATTGAAACATCGAGTCTCACGCAGTGCGGTGTCCTGTACAATACTAATCAATTTCAATGTTACTGCGCGTTCTGTCAATCTTCGGATAAGGACATCAATCAATCCAGGTCTGCAATGGTCATTCAATTCTGTTGTGAATAATGCTTCCGGAGGATCACATTTTCCCCAGATTCTTAAATACCTTGATTTTTTCAGCAGTGTGTTTTGTATTTTTCCCTACAATTTCAAATTTAATAAGTGTGTTTTTTTGTCTGTTTTAATTTTATGTTTTAGTTGTTTGCCGGAGGGTTATATTTAATGTATTTAATAAAGTACCAGATAAGCAACCACACCAGCTGCAATTAACGACTTTGGAGGCATGGTCTTGTTGTTTCTAATTATTGTGAACTATTGTGCACAATTAAATTCAAAATAGCAATCATTATTTTTTTTACTTTATATACAGTTAACCCAGACTTAAAATTGTGGATAGAAGTTGAGATTTATATGAATTAACTAATATATTTTATGCAGGCAGGTATAACACACAATTCCCAAATGCAGTGTGGAGGGTATTGAAAATGGAACAGAAATATTAAATGGTAACTGGCTTATTTAAATATATTGCTTTGTGTTGTACACTATTATTTAAATTAATGCAAACATCAAAGTGGTGAAATTAATTCTGTAAAATGTGATTTTCCCAAATTAAGCATAAAACAGGGTATTATTTGAAACCGGACACATTATTTAACCTGGAATTCAAGTTTTTTTCCCCTTTTCTCTGACTATAGTTCATATATCTTACGTATAGCTCCCTCCAAGAACTCAAATTGGGTTCACTTAACAAGAGTAATATAGAGCATTTTTTACCAACTAAATTTAGTCCACTATAGTTCTATTACCATGTTCTGTGCAACACGTTTCTCTTATTGTTGATTGCAACAACTCGGTTTTGTCAAAAAAGTTTCACTAATCTAGGTTTGTCAAACATGTTTCACTAATCTAAGTTAGTCAAACAGGTTTCACTAACTTAGGTTTGTCAAACATGTTTCACTAGTCTAAGTTAGTCCAACAGGTTTCACTGATCTAAGTTAGTCAAACATGTTTCACTAATTTAAGTTAGTCAAACATGTTTCACTAATCTAAGTTTGTCAAACACGTTTCACTAACTTAGGTTTGTGAAACACGTTTCACTAACTTAGGTTTGTCAAACAGGTTTCACTAATCTAACTTAGTCAAACACGTTTCACTAACTTTGGTTTGTCAAACACGTTTCACTAATCTAAGTTTGTCAAACATTTTTCATTAACCTAAGTGAGTCAAACAGGTTTCACTGACTTAGGTTTGTAAAACACGTTTCACTAACCTCGATTTTTCAAAACACATTTCTATAACTTAAGTTTATCAAACAGGTTTCACTAGCTTTAGACTTTAGTTTGACAAACATATTTCACTGTAAACTGTGATTCGTCAAACATGTTTCATAATCAAGGGATATAAACAGTTTTCACTACATGTAAGTATGTTATATTTAAATTGTCTGATTGTATTGGCTTTGTCGCGAAGAACGCGATAATATTATTGTTTATTTTGTTTTTATCCGCCGGCTTGGCACTTAATTATTGTGACCGCCGGGTATTTGTTGTAACCGCCGGGTTTGTCACCGGCGGGTTGATGTTTAATTATATGTACATGATTTTCATGATTTTTACGTGCATTACGTGGTATATAAAAGGAAATGTTATCTTGTTTTGGTTAGTTCGTTTTAGTTCGTTAAAAGTAAAGGATTGTTATGTTGAAAATTAAAGAAATAAAAGTTTAAAGGATGTAAAAGACTTATTTTAATTCCAGCGTAGTAAAGATTGCTACAATGATGGTCCCGCGAACCGGATAGAAAATCGAAAATAAATAAGTTCTAAAATATGGAATTAAATTCAAAAGTGTAAAAAATTGTCGGAAGTTCATTCAGTGATTCAAAATGGCGAACATCACGTACCTGAAAGGTGTGCGGACTAGATATCTCAACATCTTAAAAACGGAAATTAAAAATGCGCAAGTGATTTTGGAAAGTGATATTGATTTTAGTGACAAAGAGGAATATATTAATCGTGCTGAAAAATGTGTTGAGAAAATGAATGTTTTCCGTGAAAAACTTGAAAATCAAACGGATAAATTGATATGTGTACTTAGTGAAAAAGAAGACGAGTTGATAAAATCTATTCTTGATGAAAATTGAAGGAGTTGTGGAAATGTGTTTCTATCTTAACAAATTGAAGGATAAATTTGTTGATGCAAAACATAAAAGTGAAACGGTAAGTGCACATCAAATTTTAGAACTACATCATGATATGCAAAATATTGTTGTTAGTCGAATGAAACAAAAACAGACAATTCTAGAAATGAACGAGAAAATAGAAGCGATGCGATCATCGGTAAAGTTGCCAAAGTTAGACTTGCTATCATATAATGGTGATAAGCTTAAATGGTTGGAATTTTGGGACTCGTATGAGTGCACAATACATAAGAATAAATCGCTGTCAAATATTGAGAAATTCACATATTTGAGAAATAAGCTGTACGGAGAGGCAAAACGTGCTGTAATGGGTCTCGCTCTTTCTGACGAAAATTACATGTTGGCAATTCATATCTTGAAAGAACGTTTCGGGAATATACAAGAAGTGATTGATCTACATTACAATCAGATGATAAATTTAACTCCAGCGTATAACAGAGTTGAAAGTTTGAGGGAATTTTTCGACCAAGTTGAAAAACATCTTCGAAGTCTCGAAGTCCTGAATCAAAACATAAATCAGGATGTATTTGTTTCTATGATACGTTCAAAACTACCTCAAGAAGTTTTGCTTCAACTTGAAATGCATAAAGGAACAGAGGATAAATGAACAGTGGCAAATCTTCGCGATAAGTTCAAAGCTTATGTGAATGCTCGTGAGAAAGCGGAGCAAAAGCTACCATTCTCAGAATCACGGAGATATAAACAAATGAATTCTCCTAACCAGCAGAAGCAAAGACGTAAAGTTTTCTACGGAAACCAGAGTACACAGGACCATTCAGGTAAATCTTTAAGTTCAGCTGAAGCTCTGGTTACAAGTGAAGTAAGAAATGTTGCTGACAAGAAGTTTAAGAAATGCCGGTATTGTGATAAGAAACATTGGAGTGATGAGTGTCCTACTTTTCGCACGATTGCAGAACGAAAAGGAAAGCTTATAGGAAGCTGTTTAAAGTGTCTTAAATTAGGTCACAATTCCACTGAATGTAAAGGAAAAAAGAATTGTGTATACTGTGGTGGATTTAATGTGCACCATCGTAGTTTATGTCCTAAAAAGTTTAGATTAGGTGAATTTTGTGTTGTTAATCCTGAAATAACAGACTCATTGAACAACAATGAACTCCATGAAGAAAGTGCTCTTGTGTCCTGTGATGAAAGTGTTTTAATGCAAACAGCAAGAACGGAAGTAAAAAGTCCATTTGGGACTACGAGTGAAAATGCACGTATTCTGCTTGATTCGGGATCGCAAAGGACATACATTACAGAGTCTCTAGCGAGCAAACTTGGAGTAAAGAAATTAAAAGAAGAAGAAATAAAGTTAGTTACCTTTGGATCGGACAAACCTAAGGTAATTAAAACATATTCTACAAAAGTGTGCTTGAAACTTAGTACTGGCAAATACATTGAAATAAATGCCAATATTGTACCGGTAATTAGTGGAAACGTAAGGAAAAAGTCAGCTAAATTATTTTCTGACGAACATATGAAACATTTGTTCACAAATCTGAACATGGCTGAAGATCTTTCATCAAATAGAGAGTCATCAAAAGTGGACTTATTACTAGGAAATGATTATTACCTAGATATTGTAATGTGTCAAAGAATGGAAGTAAAACCAGGACTTTATCTTCTGGCTTCAAAGCTTGGTTGGATACTTACAGGCCGAATACAGGAAACAAGTGTATATGAAAATGAAACAAATATGCTTATTCTTACGCATGGATCAAATGTATGTGTAAGCACCACAAATGTGTTTGCTAGTGTTGATTCAGTTGTTCAAACCAAACCAGAGTTGGAAGACTTTTGGAAGATCGAATCGTTAGGAATAACAGACAGTCAAGATAATACAAATGATGAAATTGCTTTAATGAAATTTAAAGATACATTAATATATGACAACGGAATGTATCAAGTAACATGGCCGTGGAAAGAAGAAACTCCAGAATTGCCAGAAAACAGAGAGCTAGCATTAGCTCGATTGAAATCAAATATAGCAAGAATGAAAAACAAGCCAGAAGTGTTGAAAAAATATAATGAAGTGATACAAGACCAACTTAGTAAAGGTGTAATCGAGAAAATAGATAGAAGTTCGATGAGTGATTTAGTGCATTATATTCCACACCATGCAGTAATTACCCCACACAAATCAACTACCAAATTACGTGCTGTTTATGACGCATCTGCAAAATCAGATAGAAACAATAAAAGTTTGAACGAGTGTTTATATCGAGGTCAAGTTATGATTCGTGATCTTTGTGGATTATTGATGCGTTTTAGACATCATCAAGTGGCATTAGTTTCGGATATTGAAAAGGCTTTTTTACAAATTGGCCTACAGCAGGATCAGCGGGATGTCACACGATTTCTGTGGATAAAAGATATAGAAAGACCAATTGTCAGTAGTGATAATGTTCAGGAATTCAGATTCTGTCGTGTTCCATTTGGTATAATATCAAGCCCCTTTTTGTTAGGTGCCACTCTTGAGAGCCATCTAGAAACATACAACAACAACATTGCTGACAAAATTAAAGGAGATATCTACGTTGATAACGTTATTACAGGTACAAATACATGGGAAGAAGCATATGATTTGTACAAGACTAGTAAAAGAATCTTTGCTAATGCCTCTATGAATCTGAGAGAATGGGCATCAAATAGTTCTCAATTAAATGAAATGATTCCGACAACATACCAAACAAAAAGTATCTCTATCAAAGTACTCGGACATACATGGGATACAAAAAAACGACACACTTACTCTAAATGAATCATCTGTGTCGAGTGATGAAAGCATTTTGACAAAACGTATGATTTTAAAGCAGATTGCATCTGTTTTCGATCCTCTAGGATTGCTGTGTCCAGTGGTGCTTGAAGGAAAGATCATTCTGCAATCAATATGGAAGAAAAAATATCATTGGGATGATTTAATAGAGGATGATGACATTTGTGAAATTCGGTCAACTATGAAAAGTGATATAAAATCGATTTCTGATTTTAAAATACCTCGTTCTGTTTCACTTCAGAAATACGACGAAGATACAGAATACAGATTGTGTTTTTGTGATGCTTCGACAAAAGCATATGCTACGGCAATATATTTACATCAGAAAAGCAAATTAGAAACAAAAGTTGATTTAGTGTTTGCTAAAAGTAGGCTTGCGCCTTTGAAAGAAATAACTATCCCAAGATTAGAATTAATGGCAGTTTTGATAGGAGTGCGCTGTTTGAAATTCGTGAGTAATCAGCTACAGTTAAACATCAAAGAAAAATACTTATGGACATATTCTAAGTGTGTTCTTCACTGGATCCAAAGTAAGAAAGAATTACCAGTGTTTGTAAAAAACAGAATTAGTGAGATAAAATCAGACGAAGGTATAAAATTTGAACATGTGTTAGGCAACCAGAACCCAGCAGATATAGCATCAAGAGGCTGTTCGGTAAAAACAATTAGCGATTGCAAACTGTGGTGGCATGGTCCATTATGGTTACAAGAGCCCGAAGACATGTGGATAAGTTTCAAAAATGATAGTGATATTTGTGATAAATATGAAAACGACAATTCAGAAAAAGTTATGACTGTTTCTGAAAAAGAAAATAATGACTTAAGTGTTCTTTCGTCACCTTTTATAATTGACATCGCAAAGTTTTCTTCACTTACAAAACTGTTAAGAGTGACAGCATTAGCTGTAAGATTTATACGAAAACTACGCAAATTGCCATGCGAAAGTAAAAGCTTAAAATACGTTGAGCTTAAAGAGGCAGAAGAAATTTGGTTAAAACATGTTCAAAGAAAACATTTTGCGTGTGTATATGATGCCATTAAAAATGAAAAGAAAAACAATTTGCAGATTCAGTTAGGTCTCTTTATTGATGAAAAAGGTTTATTGCGATGTAAAGGTAGATTAGAAAACGCTGATCTGACTGAAAGTGCAAAACATCCAGTGCTTTTACCGAAAAAAGACCGTCTGACCTATCTCGTGATTGACAAAATGCATAAAGATCTATTACACAGTGGTTTTACTCAAACATTAGCATATACAAGACAAAGATTTTGGATTCCACATGGTCGAGCAGTGGTAAAGTCAGTGTTACACGTGTGTTCAAAATGTCGTCGCTTTGATGGTGGCCCATATAAGATGCCACAAATGCCACCACTACCTACATCGAGAGTCACGGAATGTAAACCCTTTTCACGTATAGGACTTGATTATTTAGGACCACTTTATATCAAATCTGATAAGGGACAATCAAAAGTGTGGATATGTTTATTCACCTGTTTTGTAACACGAGCTATTCATCTTGAAATAGTGATGGATATGTCTACAGAAGAATTTCTACTATGTCTTCGAAGATTTATTTCTCAAAGAGGCACCCCTGTTCAAATATTGAGTGACAATGCGTCACAATTTAAAGCTGCATGCTCCGTTATTTAAAAAATCTGGTACAAAATGCTTCAAAGTGAAGAAGTGCAAACATATGTGTCAAACTCCAGTATCAAATGGAATTTTATTACGGAACTTGCTCCATGGATGGGAGGTTTCTATGATTAGTAAAAAGGGTGTTTCGGAAAACATTAGGCCGACGGCTTCTAACATTAATTCAATTACAAACATTTGTTAAAGAGGCCGAAGCGGTTGTGAACTCAAGACCCCTAGTTTACTTCGGCGATGACGTCAATTCAAACATTGCATTAACTCCATGTCATTTCTTAACATTAATCCCCAGTATCGGTATTCCAGAGTCTCATATAGACGAGAAAGATAGAGATTTTATAGCGCATTACAATTCAAGTGATCGCCTAATGAATATATGGAAAAAAGGTCAGAAATTACTCAACATGTTTTGGGTTATATGGCGCAATGACTATTTGTTAAATCTTCGAGAAAGAACTCAATCAAAAATTAAAACAGGTCGAGTTCAATCACATATTGAGCCATGTGTTGGAAATATAGTATTATTAAATTTAGGATTTACCTCGCAGAAACTGGAAACTTGGGAGAATAGTGGATTTAATCCCAAGTCAGGACGGAAATGTACGCTCAGCAATGGTTAAAATACCATCGGGAAAAGTGCTGAAACGTCCACTCAAACTATTATTTCCTATTGAGATGTCCTCAACTATCAATCATAAATTAACTCAAAGTACTGAAAATGATAAAATAGATGAATACGAGCAAATATCTCGCCCGCCCCGCAAAGCAGCAGAAAGTGCTAAAATCTTGATCAAAAAGCAATTAAATTGCTAACGAATAAAAGTCGTTTTAAAAAAATGTCGCTTACAACATGTGTAATTTAAAAAAAATGTATACATCGGCGGAGCATACTTGGCGATAAAACATTAGCCATGAAATTCACGCGCAAAGTTTTTGACGGCGGAGCATAGTATTAGAGTGAAAACTACAACATGAAATTCACGTGAAAATCGTGCGGCGGAGTAAAAAATTTGAAAGATTTGCACGAAATTTTTATAAGTATAATTCAATAAGAATTGAATCATTATGCTTGTGTCAATTGACCAGAAAGGACATAAAAAAAGAAAAAAATGCCTTTGTGCTATTGCGATACCTGCAATAAAAGTTATAAAAATATAAGAAATTTGAAAAGGCATATCAAAGAAAAGCATACAATCTTAGAATATTGGAACTGTGTGGGAAAAGATTGTTCGTCAAGATTTATAAGTAGAAGTTACCTCAGGAAACATTTGATTTTAAAGGACAGATATGGAGCAGACTTGGCAAGGGATGCAGCGTTACGTGCAAAAAGAGGAGATTTAAAAGAGAGTGAATATTATGAAGACGTGAGCGAAGATGAAAGTATTTTTAGTTTGTTAGCAGAAAGAGATGGAAATCACGACGAAAAACAGTTTGCTAACACAATCTTGGATTTTGACCTGACTCTTCTGCAAAATGATGAACATTTAACCAATAATTAAACAGATGAAGAAAAACAAAAAGAGTGTGGAATACCTAATGAAGAAAATGAAATGCAAGCAGAAGATAACGATGAGAGAGAATGTGAAATAAACGTAAATGATATGGAAAATGAGGAACGAGATGAAACAAATGATAATAGCTTGGTAGAAGATGACAACGGCGGCGAACTTGACTATAATGATTGTGAACAGGAAAGTGATTACATTAATACGCAGCAAAGAAGTGAAGAAAGTGATCATGATTATATCAGTGATAAAGTGAGTGCTACATATGATATAAATAGTGACGTAAGTTCAAAAGACGAAAACAACAACGACTATGAAAGTGGTATTTGTGATTACCAGTATAGTGATATAAGTGTTGATGATGATGAAGTGATTTTAAGCAGTGATGGTGAGTCTGCACATGGAAACATTGACAACAAATGCACAGATGTAGTGCCGTCAAAGGCTACAACAAGGACTCAAACTTTGATATTAACATTTACAAAGAAGACGACATACATTGGACAAAATGAAATTGAGACACACATGAGTGCCGATCAAGAATATTATGATGATTTTGAGTAACTATAAACTTTGGCCGGGAGTATCGCGAAGAACGCGATAATATTATTGTTTATTTTGTTTTTATCCGCCGGCTTGGCACTTAATTATTGTGACCGCCGGGTATTTGTTGTAACCGCCGGGTTTGTCACCGGCGGGTTTATGTTTAATTATATGTACATGATTTTCATGATTTTTACGTGCATTACGTGGTATATAAAAGGAAATGTTATCTTGTTTTGGTTAGTTCGTTTTAGTTCGTTAAAAGTAAAGAATTGTTATGTTGAAAATTAAAGAAATAAAAGTTTAAAGGATGTAAAAGACTTATTTTAATTCCAGCGTAGTAAAGGTTGCTACAGGCTTAACTGGTATTTCCATTTACATAATTATACTATTTCTTTGCCAACTTGAAATAAATGCTCAAATTTGTAGATTAATAGATTAATCTATTATAAATAAATTAAGTAAATTTTTTCAGAGAATGTTATGGTATATCATGATTTAAGTGATTATACAATATTTTAACAGATAAAATGTCAGAGGAAAATCTTAATACAGTCTCATGGGAAGACATACACACAAACACCTTTTTTTAATTTATTCCATATGCATAAATACATTTCATTTCAAACGTGCTTGTGACTTTGTTTCCAAATTGACTTAACATATTTTTTTCTATAAAATTGTTTATGTTTTCATTCATGCACAATTCATTTATCTTTTTATTACTGCACTGAACCCATTAAAAATTTGTCATATTGAAAATTTTTATCAGGCGATTAAAACTTGTCTTTTAGTTTTCATTTTATTAAAGCACTCCACTCAAATGTCAGATATCAAGTATTTTTCACATTAATTGATACAGTTTAACTGCCTGTATTCTGTATGGCATAACTTTAATTAGAAATTAATGATTCTAACTATTGGAAATAATTTTTTAAAAATCAAGTGCTGTTGACAGTTCTTGCATTAGTGTTCTGATAAATATTCTTTCTTCAACATCTGTGTCGTTGCCATTGATTTTTCCTCCTCTTATTTAAAGTTGAATACATGTTTCTGTAAGTATACAAGATAATTTTTTCTTAAATAAACACATAAATGAACATAATTATTAAAATTCCAGTAAAATTCTCACGTCATAAACCTCAAATCACTAAAAATTGTTGAAAATATCCAGAATATTTAAGCATATTTAATCACATTTATAGTAATTTCCAAATGAGCTTTATAACCAAATTATATATGGAACATATATTAAATTTGTAAACCTTATTTAAAAAGCAATTCAA